CTTCCTTCCTTCCTTCCTTCCTTCCTTCAATTCCTACCCATTCATCCATTCATTTTTTCTTTCCATCTTCATTTCTTCTTCTATTTTGCTTCTTCTCTCTTAATTTTTTTTCTTGTTTCCAGGGACTCCGTCCTGTCTCTCCCTACATTCCACTATTCTTTCTTTCTCTATACATTGTCTTTCCCTTGTCCCGTACAGAGCAGACCTGTGTAGCAGTAACGCTCTAAATTTGTATTCTGGAGAAGTTAATTTGAAATGCTCTCAGAATCACGGGCTCTCCCGGCTCAGGTTTTTCGTAATTTTCCCGAGTCCCACTGAAGCAAGTATCGAATAAGTAGGTTGTTAAGGTCACGGTCGACTCATTCCAATTATTGTTCCCCTTGCCTACGTTATCCTATCACTCGACACACTGTTGTATGAGATATGAACAGCATTGTTAAATAAACACTCTGCCTCTTCCTCTCCTCCATTCCCTGCTATATTTCTTCTCCCTTTATGCTTATCTTTCTGTGGTTCTAAGTTCCCTTCCAGGTTCTTTATCTTCTCTCTCTTTCTATTATCTGTTTCTTCTTCAGCTCCATTGCCTCTTATCTTTGCTTTTCTCTTCTCACTCTTTCTTCATTAATACATTCATTATTTCGTTTATTTACGCTTTCATTTCTCTGTTTACTTTTCCCTCTCGTTTCCTTCCTATATTCTTCTTAGTCTCCCCTGAAGGCACCTTACTTCGCTCTCGTGTTTGTGGGACTGACGATTTATGAACATGTGCTGCAAGAGACAATGTTATTGTGCCGTAGCGGAGCAACTCTCTCGGGTGCTGGGTGTTGCAAGTGAAGACAGCCTCGCTCCTTCTGTAACAGAAACGGCACTCATCAGCGGTATGAGGTTTTACTGAACTTTCCGTACGCCGGCGACATCAATTTATCACTGCGAGAGATGAGGTTAGCAGCACTGCAACTGGAGCAACGAGGCTGCTGAAAGAAACGAAAGATGACAGAATGAAAACGTATTGACACGTGGCGATGTCTTGCTGTCCTAGCCGCAGGGGGTGATAATGATTGTGAATATTTTGTGTGGGAGCTGGAGTAGCTCAGTCTATATAGTGACTACTCTGCAGCGTGGACGACTAGAAGAATCAGGTCGGTTTCCGGCTGAGGCAGCAGATTTTTTCTATACCACAGCGCCCAGACCGGGCCTGAGATCCACCCAGCCTCCTATACAAGGGATACCTTGGGTAAAGTGCAGGAGCGTGAAACTGACGGCTTATCTTAGGAATACGCTGGAGCTGTACGTTTGCTTCTCCATACGCCTTCATGTGAATGTATCATGCTACATACAGAACACGGTTTACGGTTGATTATTTATGCGTGTTGTTCTTTGGAGATGCCATTTACCTTAGACCTTGACAAATAGTTTTATAGCATGTAGTACTGAAAAATGATACGCCAGAAAGCAAGGAAGGCTAATTGTAGGAAAGCTTATTTGACAAGTGGTCGTATTTCCCGTAAATTTATTGACAGGTGTTGCAGTATTATAATATAGCAATAAAACTAATCTGTGCTCTTTCCAGTGATCTGTGTGTAAAGTTGTATACTCCATATTCAAGTCTCTCCATCCA